AGGGAGTTATTATGCAGTACCTCTCCAAATGGGCATGCTCTCCCCTCAGTCTTCCAAACACTGATCTGTACCTAAACCATCCATTTCAATAGTCATAGATAGTCCCTATTCTACTACATACTTGTATCTTGTTTAAAAAACAATAAGCTGAGTTGTACAGAAAGGAGGTTTCTTAGAGGTAACCAACCATGTTTTACTCTGAAGGTGCCAAACATTCAATATTGTCTTAGAACTCCTATGGAGAAAAGTAAAACAAAAGTGAAATTATAAACTATAGCATTAGGAGCACCTATGGACTATGCCAATCCTAATGACATGTCTGCAAAATGCAGAGGAAAACAGTATGCATGTAGTGCCACACAGATGAGCTATTCCGGCACTATACCCTTATGAAAAAGTATTACTAAGTCTTCTAGTAATTCGATAATATTTTCCTGGAAGGAAATTATATTCTGATTACTATTAAAAAGCACTCATTATGTGCCATTATGATAAGTACTAGACTCCATAAGCATTTTGAAATGTGTTAGTGCTCAATAATTAATGCCTCAAGCTCATGATACACATATATGTATCTATATTTAACATATCTGAGGGGGCCAGGGATTTAGTGCAGTGGCACAGTGCCTGCCTGACAAGTGTGAGGTCCTTGATTCATGGTACCCCAAAAATAAAAATGAAAATAAATAAAAAATAACAAAGCAGTACAGTGATGGTCTAACTTAAGATTTTTCCCTTTTTTTGAGATAGTGTCTCACTATGTAGCTCAGGCTGGCCTTGAACTCACAGCAATCCTCCTGCTTCAGGCTTCTGAGTTCTAGGATTTTCTATTTTATGATAGCATGAAAACATACCTATATAATTGTTCCTTTAAAAATTTTTCAGTACAATAATCAATAAATTACACAAAATATTTAACACTTTATTATAAAATAGGCTTTGTTAGATAATTTCACTCAATTATAAGCTACTGTAAGTGTTTGAGAACATTTAAAGTAGGTTAAACAATGGTGTTCAATAGGGTATATATAGTAAATGCATTTTCAACTTATATTTACAAAGAGTTTACAGGGACAAAACTCCATCATAAATTCAGGACTGTTATTTATTCACGCACAAGCACACGCACACGCACACGCACACACACACACACATAGAGAATTTATCGCCACTCATCCATTCATTTCTGAGGCATCCATTCATTTCTATTTTATAAGTGAATCGCCTCTGCTATACAGCCAACAAGTTACTTCACTGTTTTAAGTCCCAATTTCATCATCTATAAAATGGCCTAACAAAGTATAGAGTGGCTTTTTTCTGATGATGAATTATATAATTCTCATAAAGCTTTCACAGTGTTTTGGACCATCTGTATGTGCAATCTGATATAACCTTCCACAGTTGTTCTATGACAGCATATTCCTTTAACCTTTAAGTGTCAGAGTCATTCTAAAATCTTCTATAAGATTTTCTTTATAAAACACAGTACCATCTATTGCAAATCACCAGACAATCTGCTGGTGAAAAGTACAGTTTATATGTTTAAATGGGAAGGTTTGCTATTAGTTATGCTGGCCCTGTTGCACACTGGCACAGCTGGCATGGTATTAGAGCACTTGGAACACCATAAAGAGGACAAGCAACTGCAAACCTCAGCTGCACCACATGAAATTAGTGCTATTACTATCAATCTTTTAACATTACTTGAGAAATTTTAAAACAAAAAAATAGAAGCAATAGATAAAATTATACAAAAATAAGAAACTAAGTGATCGTTATTGAGGCAAAATAATTGTCTATCAAAGAGATTCCTCAGAAATTCCTTCAGAATCATACCTTTAAATAACTAACAACAGAATAAATATGAAAGTACTAATGGTTTTCCAATATTTCAGCAAAAATAATTATAAGATTAGGGATAAAAAAATCAATGCCAAGAAATAATATTCACATAAAACATACAGGAACAAAAGGGGAAAAGCTGAAAAATATTAATGAAAGGTATAAACCAAGACTTTAGTGAGATGATAAACTGAGGTCTCTCTACACATTCATCCTTAAATATTCAGTTGATTCCTGGAACATATTCAAGACTAAGTATAGAAGACAGATTTTGACTGAATATTACAAAATTGAAGGCCGAGCGTGATGGCTCACATCTGTAATCCCAGCACTCAGGAGGCTGAGGCAGGAGGATCACTGTGAGTTTGAGACCAGCCTAGGCTACAAAGAGAGCTCAAGGCCAGCCTAAACTGCATAGAGACCCTGTCTCAAAAAAGACCCAAAAAAAAAAAAAAAGTATTTCTAGTATAATTTATGAATTAATTCTGAGAAACATTTCATTGAAATGTAGAAAATGAATTACTAGATCAGCAAGAATTAGAAGATAAATATACACACTATACAATTTTATATGAAATAATAAAAAGAAATACATAAAAAAAAAAGCCAACATTGTATACCAAGCATGACTTATTACTTGCCCTATCCCTGAAAAATGCAAGGGATCTAGAAAAGAACTACTGGCACATTGGTTCAAAGGGTATAGAGATTGAGGGAAAAAAGAAGAGAAATGAGAAGAGGCAAAATGAAGTGTTAACAGGTCAAGAAATTAGGAATTATCATAAAGGTTCAAGGGCAGAGATAGAGAAGCATAAGCAACATTTTTAGAAACACACAGACATTGTACTAGCTTCATTTAACTGTACGTGATCGGCTGTGGCCAGGATTATTCCTCCAACGAATATCACTGGACAATCTCTTATAAACAGCAACAAACCAAGTCTTTGGTAACTCCCCCACCTCAAACTGCAGGGCCTCAAAGTGTCCAGCCCCTTCATCTTCTGTAGTCCAATCAAACGAACTTTTGCCTCTCAATTCATCATGATACCTCTCGCTACCAGGCTCTCAAGAGATGCTGTTACGTTCTATGTGCTACACTTCTCTTCTTGCCCAGGAATTCTGACTGATTCTTGTTTCAGTTTAGCCATCATTTTCTCCCAACCTTCTGTCTTTCACCTCTTTATCTCAATTTATAAATAAAAAGAATGAATAAACATAGATTAAAGAGGTGACTAATGTGCTACTTGGCAGGCCAAGTCATACTTCCATGTCTTATGCTAGAGTCTAAGTTTCTTCATTTTAGGTCAAAGAGCATCAGTCCCAAGAACAGAGAGATTAAGAAGAGAATTAGCAAAGATTTGGCTAGGCTACTATGTGTCATGTAAGAAACTTTCTGGGCAGTGCAGTAATGTCTGAAATAGTTCTAGATAATTATTAATTCTGAGAATTTGTGAACAATTCAGTATAGCCAACTGCTCAAGGGAAGTCAGTCAAGCATGAAAATACAAGTATCACCTCAGTGTGTTAAGAATGTGTTAAGCATATTAGCTTGTTTCACACTTCGAAAACTTTAGGTGCAAGCTCAACATTTCTGAAGTTCAACATTTCAAAAATCCACTGTGATTCAACAGACTCCATTCCATTAGACATATTTAGGAACTAAGTGAGATACTATGGAATAAATATATCCATTTATCTTTGGATACAATCTCTGGCCTGAGATTCTGAATTTGTTTTAAGTTATTGATGAGTTCAAAGTACAGAATTAAACACACATATATACAATAAAAACAGAAAAACTGTGTAGGTTTCATCCGATCAAAATATTTCCAAATATACTGAAAACATATGTGGTTTAAGAGAGCATGACAAAGTTCTGTCACCTATAGTCTGTGTTACAATATTGGGCAAGTGATTAAATGTGTCCACTGGCTTAAAAAAATATAGTTAAAAGTGTGTATTCCAATAGGGGGTTTAAAGGAAAGGATTAAACCATATATAGTATAAACCTTTGTAGGTACTATATAAACGTTCTAATGACAATTACCACGCCATGTATAAGACATTCTTGGATAATTAACAAGGTCAGAAATGGAAATAACTCATAATAGTCCGTAATTTTCTGTGTATCTGTATTCTTCAGGATAGATGTTATGTTTCTAACATAGTTTTTAAATAAGGCTTAAATTTATTTATCCCACAGGAAATATGACTTAGCAGTAAAAATATGTGAATATTTCACATAGATTTAAGAAGGCCAAGCAGCAATAAATCTGACAAAATATTCATAACCAGGAAAGGTGGTTTTAACTCCGTGTTACTTTGTTGCCCATAGTCATGGTTCAAACAAACTAGACACTGGTGGAGACTGAAGAGTTTGAATGTCTGTTAGATGCCTGTCTCAACAAAAAATAAATTAAGATTTACTGGCTTTTCATCAAGAGAAAAAAAACCAGGAGAGAAAACAAGGAAGCCAAATACCACAAAAAACACTGGGAAAGCCATTTGCCAATCAAAGCCACAGTGACCACTATCCCATCTGAGATACTATACAGTTCACAAGTGTCTAGAACACAGCCGCAACCCTTTACCAGTTTTATTATTTAAGATACTAGACATATAGTTTTATTTCCTCATATCAATGACAAATAAACTGTTGAAAATAATTTTACCCATATATAGGTTTAAGTATTTCCTCATGTCACGGTTTTTCTAAAATGATCCAATTGAACCTCTCTTGCTTTAATGACACTTTCATGAAGTACTTTAAGTATTCCGTTCTGACTTTAAATTCTACAAGAAAACTGTGTATCATTAAATACAAACTTAGAGACTCATACTGTGACTTTTTAAAGACTTATTAAAAACTTGCTAGAACAAGGCATGCCTATAATCCCAGCTATGTGGGAGGCTGAGACAAGAGAATCAAAAGTTCCAGGTCAGCCTGGATAACTTAGTGTCAAAATAAAAATGGCTAGGGGTATAACTCTGTGGTAGAGTGCTCCTAGGTCCAGTATCCTGTATAAAATAAAATTAAATTAAATATAAATTAAATATCAAAGGACCAAAGAGTCAACAACTATAAGATGACTATAAACTGATTTTAACTTTGAATATAAATGTTACATGATATATCTAAATTTCTGTAAAAAGTCATGTTGAGTCGTTATATTCTAATGACACCATCATTACTAAAAATAATTTTGGAATCCACATTAGTACTATAAAAGCCAGTTTTTAAATTACACTTCCCAAATCTCATTTTAAACAAAAAATATTACTAAATTTGGTGTTTTGTTGTTTTCCAGAAATTTCAAGTATGAAGATTTTCCTACTATATTCTGAAAGAATGTGCTTTAGATTGACAACACTTCCAAAAATTTTTTCCCTAAAGGGCAGCATGTTGTGAAGTACATCATTTTTTTTTTTTTTTTTTGGTCTTTTTGATTTTTATCAGTACCAGGGATCGAACTCATGACTGCCTGCTTGCAAGGCAGGCGCTTATGCCGCTGAGCTAAATCCCCAGCCCCGAAGTACATCATTTTCAAAGGTAACTCTTCCACAGGGAACACATTCATTGAACACATTTATTATTTCCATGCTTGCTAGAGAATTTCTCAGATTAATATAATTGAATCTTTTAAGGATCTCTTGGGCTTGTCATCTTTTAAGGATCACACAAAGATCACATAAAAGAAATGAATCACAGTGGTTTTTTAAAACTTCATAGAGCAACAGATGGATTACAAACACTAGCCATCTTTTTTTGTATGTGTCAAGTCATAAACCTCTCATTTTTAGCGTGTATCAATTGTTAAAGTTATCTTCACTGAATACAGCAAAGTCTTGTTTCATTAACATTCAAAACTGCTTTATTTTTAAGTTAGATACCACAAAAAACAAAAGCACTTAGATCTTTTGGCCCAGGTCAGAACTCCAATTCTAATCACTAGTGTCAAGTAAATCTTCTTTTATACAAGTTATGCATATCTAAAATTAAAATTATGTATTGCAAACATGCCAGTAAAAATTTAAAAATAAAGTATCACTGAATAGTTGCATACACATAGTAATTAAGCCTAGGTTCATTTAAGTGACCTACAAAATGTAACACGGTGTGCTAGATTTTCTGTGTGTTCAGACAAAGACATCTAAAACCTAGAAGTTTAAAGTGAAATGTATGAGTAGAACAATAATATTACAACATGGTCACTGTTAAATAGTAACAGAATCTACTACAGTTTGGTACAGGAAGGACTTATCAAAATTTTTCTGTACAGATAGACAATATCAAAAACTGGGTGAGGATGTGGCAAAACTAGAATTCTCAGTGTAGGACAATAAAATGATGTAGCCACTTTGAACATGGGCAATTCCTCAAAGGTAAAACTTAGAGGGCTGGGGATTTAGTTCAGCGGCATAAGTGCCTGCCTTGCAAGCAAGCAGTCGTTGAGTTCGATCCCTGGTACCGATAAAAATTTAAAAATTAAAATTAAAAAAAATATATATAAAAAAAGATAAAACTTAAAGAATTATAATATAGGGATTCCATTCCTAGACATACAGTGTATCTAAAAAAATGGAAAACACAGGTCTATACAAAAACTCATACACAAATGTTCATAGCAGTAGTATTCTTAATAGTTGAAAATGGAAGTAATGCCCACTAATAAAGGAACACACAAAATGTGGTATTATCCACCCACATTGTGGAATATTATTCAGCTACAAAAAGGATGTTCTAATACAAGACAATGAACCCTGAAATCATTATGTAAAAGAAATCAGTCACAAAATAGCACATATGTCTGATCCATTCATATGAAATACCTAAGCAAACAATTCATAGAGAAAGAAAATAACTTAGTAGCTGCCAGAGCTGGGGAAGTTGGATGACAGGAAAGTGACTGCTAATAGGTTTATTTTAGGGGAAGGAAAACATCTGAATAAGATAATGGTGACAAACAACTCTTAACATGCTAAAATCCATTCAAGTATATACTTTTAAAGGGTAAATTTTATAACATGTCAGTTATATGCAAGTAAAGCTTTTTTTAAAAAAAACTTGCCTACAGAAATCATACTCAGGTTACTGAGACAGACTCTGAATCAAGGTGGACTATGGGGGACAGGGATTTAGCTCAGCAGCATAACCACCTGTCTGGCAAGCACGAGGTTCAATCCCCAGTACCAGGAAAAAAAAAAAGTGGACCATGTTAAACAAAGAGCATGGCATGATGGCAGGGCAGGGTGAGGAAGACAATGGTGAGGTGGCCAGCATAGCTGGAACATAAGGTCAGGAGTCAGTATCAAATCTGCAGCACCCTTAACGGGCATTACTATACCCCATAATAACTAACCAGCCTTTTCTTACTAAGTTTAAATGACCAATTAAGACTTCTTTTTTTTGAGCCAGGATCTTGCTGTGTAGTGCGGGCTGGCCTTGAACTCACTGCAATCCTCCTGCTCAGCCTCCTGATTGCTGGGATTACAGGCATGTGCCACCACACCCAGCTGAAACAAATGATTTTAAGACTATTTTTCTACCACTCTAGTAGAAATGCTCACTTGGCACTTCTGGGAAGATTTGGTAGCTTTTGCCAACCTCTAGACCTATGTATGGCATGCATGCCACTGAAAGTTCTAAAAGGTTCACCATCGCTGTGCTAGTGATGAGACACTCCACAGCACACCAGTGACATACTTTCTGAGAATAGTCCACAAGCTTACCAGGTTTATTTGGAACCAACATCGTCCCAAAATAATTTCCAATATTTTGTTTTAGCTGAGCAATCTCGAGAGTAGAATGAGCAGTATAAAGTTTATGAAGAGACCTATATGAAATGCTAAGGAACAAAGGGGACTTTTGAAGTGTGGTATATACATGATTGTATAGAATACAAAATAAGTATTTAGTACTTCTACATTTCTTTTTGTTTACCTGTTTTCTAGTTATGGTAATCAAGATAGTTTCCATTCATAATGCAAATCTTCCTTAAAAGAAAAATCGTAAAATTTTTAAGAAAATAATATAGATGGTTATAAAGAATTGGCAAAAATCCTAAACATTGTATACTGAATACTATAAGTATAAAAACTTAATAAATAGGAGCATAGAAAGAGGTTCTACCTGGAAGTGATATGGCCACATTACAGAGCAATCATTCTAGAAATGGGAAGGTGGAGGACGGGAGGCAACAATCTCCACCAGTCAGCAAATCGCAGCCAACTGGCAATGTTCTATAAGCAAGAATGATTCTTACATTTACTATCTGGTCCTTTACAAAAAAGTCTGCCAATTCCAGCTTAGACAATGGATAAAATTCCCAACTAAGCCTGCTGGATGAAGGTATAGCATAAAAAAAAACCTCTGATGCAAACTTAACAAGACTAAGATTCATCAGATGTACGTGGTTTAAGAGCACGTAAAAGTAAAAATGTTAATGTTTCTATTTAAAACTCAAGGGAGATAAGGACACCCAGATAAGAAAGCTGGAAGGAAGTCAGTATCTTCAAGTTAAGTCATTTTTGATTATGAAAAATAAATGACAACCTAAAATCACACAAGTGACTTATAGCCTTACATCATTCAAAAAGAAGCTTACTCAAGAGAGGGGCTTGCCTTACTATGTGTTTTGTAACTAACGGGTGTTCCTTTTCCTGTATGAGTTTTTTTTAATAGTTACATCTTCAAGCTTATTAAATATTCTTTCAAAGATAGTTCTGTAGAAGAAAAAAAAATTTTTTTGGTACCAGTAATCAGACTCAGGACGTTAAGCTTGCCAGGCAGGTACTTGTGCCAATGAGCTATATTCCTGACCCTCCAGTATGAGATTTCTAAAATGAAGAAGCTGATATATTTTTGTAGGAGAAAATGTTATTTTCTGTACAGATCACTGGGTTTAAGTATGACATAACAGCATCCAATCTCTTAGCTAATCTACATCTCGGAAGCTTCGGAATCAAAGCAAGTTGTGGTGGCACCTGAGGAGTATCACCAGGAGTTCAGGCCAGACTGGCCTACACAGTGAGTTCACAGCCAGCCTGAACTACATTGAAAGGCACTGTCTCAAAGAAGGAAATAAGTAAATTTTTAAAAAGATACATCATCATTATGATGATGAGTTTTTTTTGGAACTGAGAATTGAACTCAGGACCTTGTGCTGCTGAGGTATATTCTCAGCCCTCTAGTGATTTTGCTCATTAGGTTATTTTTCTCCATTTTCTTAAAAATTGTGGAATAATCATATGTAAAGGCAGATAAAAAGCTTTCTAGAAACATGACAAAATGATTCATTTGAAAGGAATCTTAATATGTAAAGATACTGCTCTTATTATAACTACTTGCTAGTCTTCAAACCTCAGTTCCAAATACAAGAAATTTAGACTTACTGGATTTTTATAACAAAGCACGGCTACCCATTTACCAATTGTTGAACATTTTAATAAATGCCCCAGAAATATTACAGTTAACACAACAAATCTACAGATGTGGTATAGCTATAATCTCTTAGTTGAAGCACATAGGGAAAGATGTATTTCTGAATTCAGAATTGCTCAGATTTTAGAAAGACAACAGTGCATATAATCTGTTTATAGCAGTTAGCATTTCAATAAGAAAAATGTGGCACACTTAAACTGGGACAAAAGAGATTATGTATAAAAGAGAAGGGAAGATTTAAGTAAATTAGCAAAGACAGTGAAATACTAGTCTGAAGTAGGAGGGGGAAGAGAGTAATTACTAGAAAGCAAAAAAAGATAAAAACAGTAATATTCATGGGTGAATGCATGCAGCCATTCGACAGTAACAGGGAAGAAAGGGAGCCTAGAGAATATGTACTTCAATCTCCCTTTCTTTCTTTTCTTTTTTTCTGAGACAGGGTCTTACTATGTAGTTTTGGCTGGTCTTGAACTCACTAAATAGCCCAGGCTGGCCTCAAATTTGCAGTGATCCTCCTATCTCAGCCTCCCGAGTGCTGGGATTACAGGCTTGTGCCACCAAGTCCAGTCAATTCTACCATCTTCTAGAGTCTTTTTTTTTTTTTTTTTTTTGGTACCAGGGATCAAACTCATGACCTTGCTAGGCAGGCACTTATATCATTGAGCTAAATCCCCAACCCAATCTTTTACAGTCTTTTAAGTTTACTTCTAGGAGACAGTGATGGAAGAAAGCAAGAATGGATGATTTGAACAAAGTTAACATACCCTGAAGTGATAAACATCACTGGAATCTGAATTTTATTGACCAGAACTCAGTAATAAGGCAGGCTAACTGTGAAGTGGTATGGTGATGTTTTTAGAAGAACAAAGGGAAGCACAAATATACTAGGTACACACCTTTTATGTTGTAAGACTGCAGAGGGAAACTGAGGCAGCATCTCCTAACTGCATTATTATTTCTCCAGTGAAACAATATCCACACTAACTGCAACAAATAAACACGGTAAGAATAAAAAATGAAAAACCTCACACCAATCTAAGTTATAAAGTGTAAAAATATTAAGTATAATATTCAGTGTCAAACTCACTCAGACACAACTTTAGTTTTCAGAGGATTTGCAATTTCAGGAGTGCAGATAATGGATTATGAATGAGCAGATGATCCACAAAAATAGGAACCAGAAAGTAGAGACGAGATTTTAGATGTAGGCTCACGACTTACAAATTTGTCTACGATGCAGGGAAAAGTGCAAATGTCTCCTATGTTAGGCATCATTAACGACACCAGCCCTAGACACAAAGGGGAGGTTTTTCAATAAATTTCAATTTATTGTGCCCTGTGCTTTGTAACTACTCACTATGCTAGAAGATCGAAGAAAAACAAAGAGTATCAGAGTTCCAAAATATGGTGAAACGAAGATTTAAGAAAAGCCTAAAATGACTGACTCTGAAAAGCAGCATCAGGGAAGGCTCACCTATGAGACGCTGACATCAGAATTACACTTGACAGAAGGACAAAACTTTGAACAAGGAAATGAAGTAGGGGCAGAAGAAGAGGGCTGCCTAAAGACACAATGTGATGTCTTTAAAGGCCTGGACAATGGCAAGTGACTTTTGAATGGTAGTATAGGAGTACCGGAAACTTTATAATTTTTAAGTTTTACTTACTTATCACCAAGAATAGGGAAGCGTAAGGTCAGTAAGAAAGAACAGAGAGTGAAAAATACAAGATGGAGAGCCATTTGAGTGAGTGGTAATGTAATTAAGAGATTACATGAAGAATACACCTGGATCCAAGAACAGGACTAAGAAAACAATTTTAATTAAGGCAGGAGTTAGCTGAGGTACAATAAAGAGCTGCCTAGTCTAGTACGTGAAAGAATCAGAAAATCAAAATAGGTCACAGCTCCAGGGTAACGTGTTACTAGTATCATCCACCCTATAATCCCCAAGAAGGACGAGAGTAAAGAAGGCACAGTACCAGACCTTTTCATGCCTTATCTCAGAACTCTCATTTATAATATTCCTTCTGGGTTGCCAAGAGGCTTCTCTGTTTCTCAAGTCTGCCCACACTAACTTCCAGCTAAGTGAGGGTATCGCATGCGTCATATAAACTAAGATGTAGCACGCACTTATTCTATTTATGCATTCAGAAAAAGTAATCTTTACAGCCAAGTAAAACAAGCAGGTACATGTACTGACTTGTCTTCTGCCATTTATGTAGCAGTTTCCTTGTATGCTAACACCATTGTTCACAGCTCTGCCAACACTTAGCACTGGCCAATGTTTGAAAATGGCACAAAATACAACTTAACTTCCTTGTGTACTGAGTATCAAGGAAAGGACTGACCAAAACACAAAATTCCTTTAAAGAATTTACTTAGTGTCTTTAAGGTAGATGGCTTATTAAAGAATTAAACAATACCAATAATACATCTTTGAAAACTTCGTATGTAATTTTAAGCTTCACATAACTATAGTTTACTTCTTTTCTGAAACACTACTTTATTTACCGAAGAGTAAGCTAGAATGTAACATTGTTATTTTCAAAATATTCATAGTTAGAAACTACCCTCTAAACATAACACAGATGCATTCCAGGGAAAAAGAAATAGGTACCTATTTTTAACATATTTTCCTCAGTTTCAGTCATGGTAATCATACCTGGCAAAAATGTGTATTTATCCAAGCAGAGTTAACCCAGTGAAAAATTTCATTATATAAAATCTGTAGATAAAAGGAATAACAAAATGCTACTTGCTGGGTTTTTAAAATAAGTGAGTAGATTTTAGAAAGACTTTATTTAAATTCCTTAATCTCTGCCAAAGTCTAGTTTACAGCAGTTGTCTGGAAAACATTCTGCTGGTTAATGCCAAAGAGCAAATAGCAGGTCAAGTTTAAAACACATGACTTCTTCCCTAATTACATTTAAGTAGCACACAGTGAGTGAAAATAAGATTCCTGGTCAGGAAGTGACTTTCTACAACACTAGAGAAAGGCTGAATTCTCAATCTTCAAAACCAAAAGGTAATAATAATGTGAAATTTTCTCAATTAATACTGGAACCAAATATAACTTATGGTATATCCTAGATTTCTAAATTTAAAGTTTGAGCCTTTAAGTTAAAAAATAATATTTAATCATAGCAAGCATGTACTAGTTGACCATCTCATGTAGCACCCATTAGAGCTGAATACAGACTAAAAGAAAATTAAGCTTATTTTAAAAGTTGTTTACTATATTAATAAACTGTCTTTACAGTCCACATCTAGAAAATAATATCAGACCAAACTCAGACTCAAGCTCTAGTTCTGGTCTAGTTTGAATATGTATCCTTATGCAAAGTATAAACCCTGGTGTGTGCTTGGTTATATAATGAAAGGGCTGACTTTAATCAGTTTCAAATTTTTTTCCATTTTAGAAGCTACGATATTCTCTAAAAGCTGTTTTACAGTGGGAAAATGAGGGAAACCCCAGCAATGGGAAAATCATTTAGTTTAACCTCCTTTAATCTTTGCTATAAACAGAAGTAATAATTTATGATCTAATCTTCACTCTTAAATTGTTGGAATAAAAGTTACAAAAAAGAAAAAATGTCACTATTTCTTGTTTCATTACTTATTTCATTACTTATTACTTGTTTTATTATTTATCTTGTTACTCTACTCCCCAAAACTGCCTATCAGGCCGGGGATTTACCTCAGGGTATGCATAAGAGCCTATCTGGTGAGTACAAAGTCATGAGCTCGATCCTCGGTACCAGAAAACAAATGAAACAAAACTGCCTATCATCATTTGTCCCTACCCTATTCTGTATATTAATCTCAATATCTATACTCTTTGGGTAAATATTAATTTTTTCCTTTAGTGAGTAGAAAAACCAAATTAAGCTGTTTTAGTCTTTATATTGTTGACTCTAGACAGAAAATACATCTTATATTTAGCAGACATTGAGAAGCTTTTTATTTGCTCACTCGTAACAATGAAGATACATTTATGTAACATGAATGTTTTAAATAAACAATTAAGGGTATATAAAAAAAGGGTATATGCATGCCTATTTGTGATCCAAATGTTAAGATAAAATTTATATAATTGTTTTAAAGCAAAGGAAAATGATATTCAAGCTATCATTCATCACCAGTCTGCTCCTCATTTCTGTTCACATTTTGGAAACAATTTCAACAATGACCTCAAAGCCTACAGAAATCTCCAGTACCAGAAGCCACCTGAATTCCAGCATGAATCTAAATCCTATGAGCAAGGCAAGTTCTACCTTCAAATCTGAAAGGCCAAATCTTACAACATCAGTGAACACCAGTATATCTCTGACTTCCACGACGACTCCAAATTCTAAGACAATTTTGAAATCAACAATGACCTCACACACAACCAAAAATATGACTACAAAGACTGTGACAAATTGTAGCACAATACCCAATCCAAAGCGTAACATGCAATTTCTTTTCTGTGTAATATTTTTGCTGGTTTTTGTATATTCAGGCTGACACAACTTGAACTGTCTGCATTTTTATCTCAGCTCTATTACCTGCTGAATAATAAGCATACTTGGAGAATAAATTGCTTACTACTTGAATTGTAAGTATTGTAGTATAATTTGGTGTCTTGCAAATTTTAAGTGCATAAGTTTAAATATTACCTTAAAATGGTAGTTTCCTTCCTTAAAAAAGAAAAAGTATGTACTATCCTATTAAATGCCAAACTAAGCAAAATACCACTTTGCCTTTTATTTACAAACCTGAAACTCAGATGTTCATATTAAAAATATAAGAGAAACGATTCCATAGGCATCATTTAACAAAGGGGCAGGGCAGAGGAAGGTGATAAAGAACGGTGTAGGGGAAGCTGATGTTTTAGTTATAGCACAGAGTGTGCTAGTATGGAAAACAGAAATGGTAGACATTTACAAAACAATACACCCGTCTATCACCATATTTCATGAATGTAGAATAGTATGACATTACAGTAATAAAGGTGCCAACACTGGTAAACCCTGTAATTCATAATGCTGTTACTCCAGTGATAGGATTATTCTGAGTAAACCCTGTCTTATATTTCATAGGATTATTTGTAAATCAGATGTTTTGAATTCAGAACTTACTTTCCCCACAAAAATGACATGTCTTGGGGCTAGGGATTTAGCTCAGCGGCATAAGCGCCTGCCTTGCAAGCAGGCAGTCATGAGTTCGATCCCTGGTACCAATAAAAACGAAAAAGACAAAAAAAAAAAAAACATGTCTTATAACTGTTGTGAAATTTCCATGCTTATCTACAAAGGATGATTTAACACAAAAAACTTAGTCCCTAAGAGACTATGTCATTAATAGTACAGTCATTAAGGGCTTGGCTTAGGCTCGGAGCCAGTTTTGACTACCCACATACACAATGTTTTGTTTTTTGAGATAGGCTCTGATTATAGATTTTAGGATGACTTTCAACTATGTAAATCAGGCTAGCCTCAAATTCACAGTGATCCTCCTGCCTCAGCCTTCCAAATGTGACAACAGTTCTGATTTTCACTAGCTATGCCACCAGGGGTCAAGCATATACCTCAGCAGGATTCTCAAACAAACTTCAATAATAAACAACTGCGAACGAATCATCTAAGATGCCTGTTAGATACACAGAATAGCTCTTGCCCCTAAGACTTTGATTTGGCAGGCTGGTGGTGGCTGGGATAGATTTAACTCATTTTGACAGCTATGCTTGAGTTTCAGTTTATACACACATCAGTTACTCTTGATGGTACTGCCAGAGAAGGTTTTTGTGAGGTTTACATGAGAATTTACATAATATGAACAGTTTTCCTGACACAGAAAGCACTCAGATGTCAGCTATTATCATTATTTTGTTTTTGAGGCAGGGTCTCTCCATGTAGTCAATCTGGCCTCAAACTCACTATGTATACAGGCTAGCCTCTAGTTCATGGTGATCCTCCTGCCTCAGCCTTCCAAGGGCTGGGATTGCAAGTGTGTACCACCATGCCCAGCTTGCTATTATCATGAATACTATAAAAAACTAATTGTTTTTCCAAATATTCCAAAAGCAGAACTCTTCATTGTTAGATTTTTATCTCTTCTTTTAACTCTTGATTGTCAGAATTTAACTCTTTTAACTCTTCATTGTCAGAATTTTAGATTCTGAATTTTTAATTATTCTTACAAAAATAATATATCCTGCTGGCAAGAATTTAAATGACATAGAGACATGTAACAGGAATATAATTGGCTGCCTACTTCCTCCTTCTAGAGCATACTAACTATCTGGGATAAGCAATGTGAGCTGTATTTACTTGTTTATTTATTTGCAGTAATGGGGGCTGATCCCAGGACTTGATATTCTCTAGCAGGTTCTCTACCACTAAGCCACATCCCCAGCCACTTCTGGGTCTTTTTTAAAAACGGTGTGTAGAGAACTTCTGACATTCCTACCCACTCAGAACCCATTCTTCCTCCTTTTTGTATTGGCGATCCTATTCTGCTTTGGGAAACTCCGCTCTCATACTTGCCTTTCAGTTCTTGCAATTCAGGTACAGCTGGTTTTACCACTGGGTTCCAGGGTGGGCACACAATCCAGGCCTACATACCCAAGAAATTTTTCTTGCACTCCTCCCCATGCTACAGTGGTTGCCTCAAAAACTGACATGTGCCTCAGCTAGGCCAGTAAGACCATTTCTTCTAAAACTACTGGAACATAAGTGTTTTTCACAGGCGTTGTTAAGCTAGAACAAACACAAAGTACAGTTGCTACAGCCTGGGGACACCCTGAGAACAGAGCCACATAAAGAAAGGAGAGCCAAGAACTAGAGAAGACCTGTCCTTCAGATGGTATTGTGCATCTAGTCATGCAGTGATTTAGTAGATTTCTTGATTTTTTAGGTATACATGCCAACAAGGTCCCTTTCAGTTTTATACAAATTTAAATTTCAACATCACATATGACAACAAAAATAAATTCAAAACACTGCATTATTTCATAATTGATTTATCAATTAATCAATAATTCCCCTTTGAAAGATTTTTTTTGGCCACTAAAATTGATACTACCACAACTGTATAACTACCTATTTAGCACATGGCAGAGAACAGTTTGGAAAAGTAAATTAGGCCAATTAGGAAGTACCTTTCATGTGTAACTGCAAAACTTGGACTTTATATGAGAGAATCAACAAGAAAGACAAAATTAGATTAATATTGGAAAATGATTCCAGAAACAATGTTAAAATGACCCAGCAGCAGTTATCTGGGGATTAGGAAGACAAGAAAAATGAAATAATATTAATATGAGAGACTGAGAATCCCAGCAAATTAGAGGGGGGAAATGGTTCCAGAAGCTACTTCCATACATTGTTGGTAGGAGCGTAAATTGATAAAACTACTATGGAAATCAGGATGAAGATTCCTAAAAAATGACAACTAGAAATTCCCTTTAACCCAGATATTTCTTTTCTTCCCTAAAAAGTTGAAGATGTTATACAGTATTACAGTGATACATGAATACTATGCTTATGGCAGCACAATTCATAATAACTAGATCTTGGAACCAGCCTCTTAAGTCCATCAACAGATAAGCTGCTAAAGAAAACGTGGCTTTTATACACAGTGAGAAATCTCTACAATAAAAAACAATAAACTTAAGACATTTGTAAGAAAATGGATGCACCCTGAGGTCCTATCAAGTGAAGTAAATCAGACATACAAACTTAAATGCTAAGTGATTTTTCATAATATTGTTTCTCTGATATGAGAAACTTATTGTATAAATAAAGTGCAAAATATAAGGCAGACAACGTGAAAAAAAGAGAAGCTTATTGTAATCCAGTATGGCCACTGTATCTCAGAGTATACCTTGATTTAGTATAATTATATGATTTTTGCCTGTCAGTCTGACTGTTAAAGCTATGACAATTAACTTAATAAGAATTTTTAAGATAAATAAATGAATCTGATGCTGGCAAAAAAAACTGGTGGAGGAATGGAAGGCAAGGGAGAAAATAAAGAATTGAGATGTGCTATGTAAACATACCAGTTCACCACAATGACTATAATCATTGTGACTGCAGATATGTACTAACAAAAATTAAAAAAAATTTTAAAAGACAGGACATAATAGTGATATTACACCATCAAAACTAAATTAAAAAACAAACAAAAACACAAACCCATACACCCAACAGTAATATTATACCATCAAGAATAAATTAAAAACAAAACAAAAAGCCCAGAACAAACCCTATACCTAATAATAGACCTGATGAAGAATAGCATGGTCACCTGATAGTGGGGCCAGGAGCATCACTTAGCTTAGGAGCACTGAGAAATCTGCTGGCCAGCATCTAACTTTAAAGCTCTGCCAACAAGGGTACTTTCTAGCTGAGGAGCAGTTTCTTCCCTCTCCTGGAATTTCAGGTATGCACTACTCAGATAATGAAGAAGCTAATAGCTGGGACTAACGCCGAAAAGAGGCAGAAAAGGGATAATAGTGCGGTCCAGGTGAACTCAAAGACAAAATAAGTCAAAACACCCTTAAAGCATTAAAGGTTAAATATAGAATACAAACATGGCTCATCTTGACTGCAACAGAAACTTAAAATTATTTTGGGCAATTTAGAAATAGTAACTAAAATGAGGGTGCCAAGAGAGTTTGGGTGGAAAGGTGAAGGGTTACTCATAGTTGTTGAGGGTCAATTTTGTATAACTTTTTGATTACCTAATCCCCAGATCTCCAGGTATTTTGGTTTGGCTACCTGAATTATCGAATTAAACCGATTTCTCACTTTCTACTTTTCTTTCTTCACTATCTCTATTTTTCTACTTCATTTCCTCTATGCTGCCAAACTTTTACCACTTATAAGTAACTCTATCAACTTAATTCCTCAATTTCTGTTAAATTCAGAGAACTCAGAAAGATGAAGTTCTACAGATCATGAACAAAAGATTAAACATAGTCCTTAAGATTCCCAGCCAGGTGTGGTGGCACACGTCTGTAATCCCAGCACTCTGGAGGCTGAGGCAGGAGGATCATCATGAGTTTAAGACCGGCCTGGGCCACAAAGTGAGCTCAAGACCAGCCTGAACTGTATTGTAAGACCTTGTCTCAAAAATACAAAAAACAAAACAAACAAAAAGATTCCCAAGTCAGTGGCCTCTATGTTAAATCGCACAATCTCAAAGGTTCAATTGCTATGAATTTATGGCAGCCTAATTGGGAGAAGTAAGACTGATGTCAACATAAATTATCAAAAGGCAGGCAGAATGAGGACGAATGAAAGACAGATGACAGGGAAAGCAACGTATGCACTGCGACTACTGTAAGGAAGAACTCACAACATTTCCAGGAGCCTTTGTACTAAGACCTAGCCTTGACTGAAGACTGCATGAACACAGTCTCTTTTCCTGACTGTCCCTTATGCCATCTTTACAGAGAACCAAGCTCCTCTGAATTATTTTCTAAATCACCCTGACGCAGCTTTACACAGCGTATTACTAAAAGTTCTTAGAGGTGGATTTTTATTTCTTCTTTGAAAAAAGTTTATAATTACCTTTTTTTCTTTTTTTTTTTTTTTGGTTTTGTTTTTCAGTACCCGGATTGAACTCATGACCTTGTGCTTGGCAGGCAGGTGCTTACGCCACTCAGCTAAATCCCTGGCCCTCCTAATTACCAGTTTATAGATACTATTAAATCATAGTATTCCAGGAGAACATGGTAGATAGGTAACAGCAGCTACTGAGGCGCTCTGAGATACCCAACTTAGAATCCAGAAATGGTGTGGTGTGAGGAGTCCTAAGCCAGGGGAGATATACCCTGCCGACCCAGGAATGAACTAAGCTGAGAAAAACGAACTGGAAATGCAATCCTGGTGCTATAATCGGAACAGATAAAATCTCAGCACGGAAGCTGGAACCTGTGCCTCTGGAAGCTGCAATTTGAATTTCCTGATGCCGCTGCTGTGTACAAATCGGCACAACAGGGAGAGAGACAGGCGAAAGCTCTGAAAGCGGGAATCAGCAAACGGAGTTGAGAGCACGACTGGTGGAGAGCCCTGCATCGACCTGAGGTGAATGAGAGGAACGGGGACCTTTCCATAGACTAAGAGGCTCCAAAAGAGGACCTTCTAGGACCGGGCAAACAAGCAGAAATAGGACATTGCAGTGACTTTAGTCACATATTCCCCTCTCAAGCAAGATTGGTGCAGAGTGCTTGGCCTGGGTGACCCGCTAACTAAGACCCAATAGGTTAGCCCAAACCAGGTCCTAGCACCTGGCAGTGCACCCTAGCAGTGAAGCCTTCAGTAGGTTGACCTGGAGGGGCGGGCCCAGCAGAGGCTGCCCAGGTCTGTTTCTCCCTAGTACACTGCAGTGGGTGGGAACACCTAGCCAGCGCAATTCAAACAAACTGTAACCGACAAAGAAAAGAACTGGGTCTCCTATATATGCTTCTATGGAAGGAACAAAAAGTATGGGAAGAGAGAGCAACAAGAAAGGGTCCTCAATCCCCAATCCTAAGAACACTGATCCAGGAAAGGGAAATACAAAGGAGAATGAGGACAGAAAATATGCAATATCAGACACGGCACCAATAGACATAAAAGTGATATCTCTAGAGCCTCATAGATGAGTTCAAAAATGAAGTATTTAATGAAATAAAGCAAGATATAAGTAGAATAGTTAGAGAAATGCTAAGCACCGCCCAAGAAAAAACAGATTGTGGAATGGAAGAATAGAAAAAAAGGGGAGAATTGTCTGATGGAGAAAATAGAGAAAACATAGAGTATGTGAGGCAGGTTCAAAGAGATTACCAGGAAACTAAAAACTCTATCGAAAGCTGGCATAACAGCTTGAAAGAAACTAAGGATAGATTATCTGAATTGGAGGGCAGATTTCTAATGTGGGAGCATAAAATGAAAAACTTTTTAAAAATAACAAGAAAACAAACAGCAATAATACAAAGGCTAGAAGATGATAGATAACAGGATCTATAACTTAAGAAGTAAGAACATAAAAGAAGTAGGGACACAAACAAATGAAATACAAAAGCTATTCACAGAAATAATCCAGGAGAATTTCCCTAATTTAGCAAAAGGTAAAGATACTCAGATGTATGAGGCATACAGGACCCCAGCCACTTATAACCCAAAAAGAGCTACACCCAGACATATAATAATCAAAATTCCAGAAATCCAATATAAAAACAGAATATTAAAAGCCGTCAGAGACAAGAAACAGATCGCTTACAAGGGAACATCCATCAGAATTAAGCAGACTTCTCGGCACAAACCATCAAATCATGAAGAGAATGGGGGGAAATAATTCAAGCTTTGAAAGATAACACCCTCCAGCCAAGATTGATATAGCCTGCACAACTGTCCCTACAAATTGATGAAAAAACAAGGTGCTTCCATGATAAAGAGGAACTAGGGGAATTTGCAACCGCCAATTCAACTCTACAGAGAATACTGCAGGATATTCTAAAAAAGGAAAATACCAAGATTCCAGAAACAATGGCAGAGAGGCCACAATGAATGGAGCAAAAAGCGAAATGAAGAAGACAAACTGACAACAAATGACAGAAAAAGAGCTCAACAGAAATGAGGCAGAGAAGGTTGGATGGTAGGAACAGCTATTTTGGAGAAAACAAGGCATCATAATAGCTAGTGCTGATTTAGTATCATCTTGTTTTGAAGTCCCATCAAGCTTTTATTCCTCTGTCTCCATTGGTCTTAACAGGTTATATCTTATTGGATTTTATTATATGTGATAATATAAACAAAAACCTTTATAGACACGGAGATTATACAGACAGAAATCATTGTTCATTTTCTGACAGTTGGTTCCTGTAATACTGTCATTCTCTTGAATGGTTTTACACTGTCTTGATATGTTTGGTGCTACAGTATACAAAGTTATACTCAAAGATTTCAAGGAAAGAGACACTACAGTAACTACTTTTATGTCAGGATATCTTGTGGTGAAACACTATTTTGCTTAAATGGTTATGTTTTGACCTGCGCTGTTTGGTTGTTATGCCCTCTTTAATCTCAATCACATTTTTTAATTATTTACTTTTTTATTTTTATCTTTTTAATTAAGGGAAAAATAAATAAAAAATAGCAGGATATATTATAGTAACCTGCTTTGATTTCCTATTAACTTGATTTGAAACTCTGTATTGCTCTCACCATCTTGTTTTGACTGATTTTCCTCTATTCTGTTATGCTTCATAGTACCAAGTTCGAAAGTATAGGCAACAACTGTGAAGACAATAATATTCATTATGATGCCCATTCTGGTTGACTATTATTTTCTTTTGAAGTCCTGTAATGTTTCCTATGTTTTGGTTTTATTGGTTTTGTTCTTTACTGTTTTGCTCAATTTTATTATTACTGATGATATAGGTAATTCTTTTTAAGACAGCAAGAGGCATTATGGTAACTTGTATTTTGTTTTTACATTATGTATTATGTCAATCCTTTTGATTTGACTGACTCTGTTCTGTTATGTCACATTTGGTTTTACTCTCTTCAAAACAAAAGTAATAAGAACTGTGGGAATAATAAAACCCAAAATGTGTAATAGTCATTGTACAAAAGAGAGGAAAAGAAAGTGTTCTAAAGGACATAACTGCATGTATATTTAAGTGTGTAAGACAGATAACCATATTACTGAGTTTTGTTGGATCACTGAACAGAACTGTTTGCAGTCTTACTGTTTGAAAATCCACTTTATATGCTTTAATTTTGTAACTTGAACAACTATTTCTAAGATGGCAATATGTAATCTATTAACTAGTGATTTCCTACTGTTTATTTTTTCTGAAATTCTGTATAACTTGTACCCTTCTTCTATTTTTTTTTCTCCTTAAATAAAATTTTTAAAAAAATCATCATATGTCTGAAAGCAAAAGATTGTGATTGTTTTTTCAAGTTTTCAAAATTTTGAAACAGGGCTAAAGCATAGTGGTACGACCTTATAAACCCAGGCTTCAGGAGGCTGAGGTAGGAGACTGTCCCAAGACAGAGCAGCCTGGGCTACACAGTGAGTTCAAGGCCAGCCTCAACTACATAGTGAGAACCTCTCAAAAAACAAAACAAAACAAAAACGAAATTAAAACAGCATCTTCAAACCCAGTCTCACCTCAAAATTGCAATCCTCCTGCCTCAGTCTCCTAAGAAGCTGGTATTACAAGAATATGCCAGCATACTTACCAATTTTTTCTGTTGGTGATTAATTCACTGTAGACAGTATTTTAAAATTTGATGTAGGAAAGACAAGTCAATAGGAAATGCAATTTCTTGAAATGCAGTTTGAAAAGTAGTTCTTAATATACTGAACAACACTTTAAGATAGGACACCTGTGTACTCAGTTGTATTCTACCAGGCAAACTTGTCTCCACCTCCTATTACTAGAGGGGAAAAATACCCAAACAATCAAAGCTGCCACCTGTCTGCATTTGCCATCATTTGAAAACTGTTGAAGAGACACCAGAAGATACTGTTTCTTACCTCCGTGCAACATAATAAAAAATGGGATTCCCAGCTTTGGAAGTGCCAGCTTGGTAGAAAATATTTAATGTTTTCAAAGCCTTAAACTCTTCTTTTTCATGTACCTGATGCCTAAAAGAAAAAACAGAGCAGAGCAGAGGCTCTATATAGTTCCCAAAGTATGTACAAAATCTATGATTGAATCAATAAAATATAAAAATAACAAAATACTTAAAAAGCAATGAGCAATTTGGCAATATATATATCACAACTTTCAAGGTGTTACTCTTTGGACCACATATTTTTAGGACTACCCTAAGACAACTAATGAACAAAAACATTAAATATAGGATTATTTTCACACATTGGTAATTTGGTTGGAATGAGTTTTTTGAATTTCTAACTTACTTGCTTGTTCTTAGTTCAATTTATGAAGTTTTTCTTTTCGGTTTATGGCTTTCTGAATGAATTACAAAGTCCATTTCTCAAGATTTCTTCTTTGGTACCGGCGATCGAACTTACGACTGCGCTCTTGCAAGGCAGGCGCTTATGCTGCTGAGCTAAATCCCCACCCCTCAAATTTTCTTCTTTGAATTACGGGACTTTACCTTCATGAATAGTATGAAAATCTTTTTCTAGGTGTTTATTCAGTTTTTATCAATACTTATTTTCAAAGTCCATCCTGCTGCATGTGGTGGTACATTTCTATAAACTAAGAAAATTCAATTTAAGTGCTTTTTTTTTGGGGGGGGGGGTAACCAAGGATCAAACTCACGAACTCTTGCTTGCCAGACAGGCGCTTATGCCACGGAGCTAAATCCCTGGCCCCAATTTAAGTGCTTTGCACTTAAAAGCAAAAGATAAATGAATTAGGTGTGGAATCTCAGGCAAATAAGTTATTCATATTGAGTTGCATTTTCCTCAACTATAATATGAAAATGTTACCTACCCTTATAGGTATGCAATATAAAATCAAAGCAAACCAAGAGAATAAACTACAATAAGACATTATTGTTTTTCTGAGAGAATCAGTATTTAAAATTAATTCATTATTTCTGTAATATATGTGTAGGAGAAAAACTGGATCCCAAACATGGCAGTATTATTACTAATTATACCTTTTTTCATAATCTTTTATCAAAAATAAAAGTATACTTAATAACAGCTTGGAGGTAAACTCTGCTTCTCAACAAAAAAGAAAGCAATCATTGCACTGCAAGGTTGTGCTTTTACCTAGTCATAAATTCCTCAAACTTGGAACTGGTAAGGTTAAGGCTTGACCAATGTGTATCTGCCACAGGCTTGTGCTCTGGAGGACCGAGGTATGCAAGAAGTGTTGCCATCTTATCGAAAGGTCGTCTTCCAACAGCTTTATGATCCCTAGATACAGTAAATGACTTAGAAACAAAGTAGCAATTCACATTTAGCAGGATATATTTCTTTAGATGGGGTTGATTTCTTTTTACTGATCATCTCCACAAATTTGTAAACAGCACCAAATAACCTCAGGGACAATAAAACATTTTAGAAATATGGCCATTTCCCAAAATACAAAATTTACAATTTAAATTCAACTTAAAAAATAAAATTCAGAATCCATTATCACCTAATGGTTAGTTACTCAGTGAACAAAAATAATACTCTTATCTTTTTCTGGAGGTAAAAATCCATTTGAGAAACCTGTATTTGGGAAATGGACATATTAATGCAAGGACGTTTTAATTGTCAAAAACCATTAGACATCTAATAGTAAGAACAACAAAATACTACTTCACAAAGCCATAAAACCCCAAGCAAACAAACAAAACAAAGCAAACTTGTTTACAAAATGATTACATATGATAATGGTAACTTCAGTGAGGCAGTGTCTATCACACAGTTCTGGTCAAAGAGTATACTGGCGTGCATGCTTCGAAAAGCAATTTGGCAGTATCTACTCAAGTTGAGGGTAAGGATACTCCAGAAACAGCAATTACACACATAGGTAACATATAACACAGAAAACTCAAAATAAACCCAAATGCCCCATCAACTTTGGAATAAAAAAATAAATGGCAATAAAGTCATCTCATGAAAAAGTGACATAAGCTGAAGTTTTTAAATAAAATGTAGCATGAAGAGATTTTTATTTATTCATTCATTCCTATAATATTTTAAAACATGAAGTTATGTCGTATAGATCTATAGTTTTCCTCTGTCAAGTCACATATATATGTAGAACAATATGAAAATACATCCAAGAAGCATTGACCACTAGCTTTATTTCTGTAGATATTATCTATAGGAAAAAAAATACAGAAATGTGATCAAGAGCAAGGCTTTAAATATGTGTGTTTTGTGTTTATACATGTACACACACATATATTTTCCCCTCAAGAAATAAAATATTATAACACACCTGAAATAATACCGAAAAAATACGTAATATTAAAGCTAGGTGGCAGATATGATCTTTTATATTGCTACTATCTATACTCTTTTATTTTTCTTTCGTTTCTTCTTCCTTCCCTTCCCTTCCCTTCCCTTCCTTAGGGATCAAATTCAGGGCTTTGTGCTTGCTACACAAGCATTCTACCACTAATACATTTTAAAACCTATACATTTAAAAAATATTTAAAATGTGCGTAATTCTTTCAAAAGCACATTGGAAGGAAAAATCTCTCCAGTATCAAACTGTGAATACATATGTAAATTATGTAAGAAAAACAATGTGTGCATTTAAAAGTTCCACAGTTAATTTTTATATCACACAGATGAAGCACTTTCCTTTTTCTATTTAAGTGCATGCACCTGTGATGCTTATGTCTACTTCAATACATTAACAGTAGAAAAAGGATTAAAGTGTCCTCCCTTTTAAACTCTCAAATTACTCAGCCTTAGGTGCAGGGCCTCCTATTCTTCTCATAAATAAGTAACCCTCTGCCTCACATCCCAGGATATTTGCATCAAGCTATATATCCCAGTCCTTTCTTTGAGACAGGTTTTTGCTCAGTTGCTAAGTTGCCCAAACTGGCTTTAAACTTGCTATCCTCCTGTGTCACAGAACAAACAACTTAAAAAAAAAATAGGGTCCTGCTATGTAGTTCATGCTGCCCTGAACTCACTGTGTAGCCCAGTCTGGCCTCGAACTCTTGGCCAGCCTCTTGCCTTAGCTTCCTGAGTGCTGGGATTATGGGCATGCATCGCTGCCTAGCCTACGCCATTTTTATTGGCAATTAAAACTGAGTTGACTCATTTTCCCTTTGAAAGGAAATTTCTCACGCATCAGAATTTGAGCCCCTTAATACCCTACATAAACCAGACAGGATTTCATTAGAAAAGATGCAAGTAATTTATGCTATAAGAGATTTTACCTAAAAATAGTTAATAAAATAATTCCCAAGTTAAGAGTTTCAATTATTGTTTCCTATACAAAGCTTTAGTTGTAGGCTAACTGTATGATGATAAAATGCTCACCTAGCACAAGTGAGGCTCTCAGTTCCATGCCTAGTGCCACCTCCAGCCTTATATATATGTGAAGAGTATCACAAACGGGCTTGTTATAGAATTTAAACATTAGCAATTTTTTAAATGCTAAGTTTCCAAGAATTAAACTGTTCTCCAAATTCAAAGGTCAATATATATTTGATTTTTAGTAAATTTAAACTTCTCTGTGCTATCACACATTATGTTTGACAGTTTGTAAATAAACAAAAAAACTCAGAAAGTTTAATTTATCAACTGGACATTCAAAAATCAGCATGGCCAGGTGTGGTGGCACACGCCTATAATCCCAACATTTGGGAGGCTGAGGCAGGAGGATCACTGTGAGTTCAAGGCCAGTCTGGGCTACAAAGCGAGCTCAAGGCCAGGCTGAACTGCATAGTGAAACCCTGTCTCAAAAAGACACACACACACAAAAAATCAGCAGCATCTATGTAGGCCTACTAATTATTCTAATTATTCAGTATGATGTTTTGCATACGTTGTACTATTCTTGACCAACAATTAAGTTTATTAGTTCAATTTAAACTGAAAGTGTTCAATGACTGAGAAGTCATACCTGTTGCTGGAAAGATACTGGCCAATTTTTTCCTGATTGTTCCAAAGCAGACGATGTAAAGCAAGCACATTGCCATCACTGATGAAGGAAAGACTATGATTTACAGCATCACTTGTGGGGCAATCTGATGCTATATCAAGGAAAAACCTTCAAAAATGCAAAGCCATTAGAATTTTCAACACTCCATATAGTCATACTGATATCTGAATTAAATTTATATGAAGCATAATTTGTGAAGTAATTGAGATGAAAAATGTGGAGGCTTGTTCACACAATACTATTGTCACTAAACCAAGCAAGAAGGACAAGAAGAAATTTGGTTTGCAGTTTGTGATACCTGACTTCAGCTTCACATTAGGCACTGAAGTCAGAGAACAGAATAAGATGACTGAAATCTAGAGAAAAGTTAGAATTTTGCAGAAAAAGAAATGGAGGCCCAGAAAAGACCTCCTCAAAGTTACAGTTTGTCAGTCAGAACCTTAGTTTTCTTAACTGTCTTTGGATAATCAATCTGCTAGAATATGAATTTAAAAAAAAAAATTAACAAGCATTTCCCTTTTGTTTAAAAATGTTTTTTTGTAGTCGAGACAGGTCTTGGTATGTAGTTCAGGCTAGCCTTGAATTTTCAGGGATTCTCCTGCCTCAATCTCCCAACTGCTAGGATTACAGGCATACAGCCACCATGCCTGACTAGTACTTTCTCATAAATTATCTCATTTGTTTCTCTTAAAACAACTAAGGCAAAGCATTATCCCTACTTTACAGATAAACCAACAACTCAGAGAAAATGAGTATCACTGGTCATGGAAATATATAGGGAATACTTTTTATTTTTAACTTATTTATTTTTTGTACCAGGGATTGAATTTAGGACCTTGTGCTTGCCAGGCAGGTGGTTGTGCTGCTAAACTAAACCCCTGGCCCACGAATACTTTATAAAACAAAGAAAGTCTCAGCAGTTGTTTCAGTACTGATAAACAAAACCTTACTCATTTACAAAACAGCAACTTTTAAATTCAGATACACTTCCAAGGGGAAGTATCAAAAACAAGGTAATACCAAAAAAATTCTCATTGGACACTATTATGTACTTTTACACAATTTGGCTTTAGTTTTTAATAAAAGGAATCTTCTTCTCCAAGTCCTTTATTTCAGTAAATATGCTAAAAGTCCCTCTTGGTTTTCAAATATAGAAACCATCACCAAATTATAAAGACTATGGAGCTATTTCATGACATCTTTTATATAGTAAGACAAAATATGTTCTTAACCTAGAGAGGGAAGAGAAAAAATCCTATATAGAAATTTCAGGTAGGCCATGTACATGGACTTAAGTGAAATGGAAAACATTTAATTCGAGTAGAACAATCCAACAAGTGTTAAGCTGCTTACCTTCGTGCTGCATCGAAGTTGCTTTTCACAAAATCATTAAAAGGTCGCATATGTTCTTCTTTTGTGAAGAGAACATGATTGGCAATACTCTGAAGTATCTAAACAATCAAAGATGGTTATAATTAATCAGATCATTTATAACATGAAATCTATACATTAATATATTCTTTTTTCTTTTTCCAACTCTGGGAATTGAACCCAGGGCTTGTTCATGATAGGTGAGTGCACTACCACTAAATCACATTCCCAGCATCATCCTTATCTTACTTTGACACAGCTCTTGCTATGATGCCCAAACTGGCCTTGAATTCATTATATTCCTGCTTCAGCCATTATTTATATATATATTTGGGGGGATACCGGGGATCGAACTCACAACTGCATGCTTACAAGGCAGATACTTATGCCACTGAGCTAAATCCCCAGCCCTTTAATATATATTTTAATAAATAGGAGTATTATTGCTATTTCTACTGGCAGTTAAAATCAACTATTCCTTGTTCTACAAGCTATTTTAGACATTGCTTCTATTCTTTCCAAATAAAAATATTCTAATTATTATATATACATTTCCATGTATGAAACACAAAAAAATTAAGTATATTTACAAAATATTTTTTTTTAAAAAACCCTACAGCTAGCATTTCTGTCTCTATTTTATACTTTATAGAATAATTACGCAAAAAAATCATCTTTGGAAGACAAAACATTTGTTGAAGTTATTTTCCGATGATAATGACACCTATCAGATACATGTGTATTAAATTCCTTTGTAAAACAAACAAAATTTTGTAAAAAGCACAGTTGAAAATCATAGGGTACTTCTAAAGTAAATTTAAGAGAAAGTACTGTACGAAAAATTAAAACTCTAGCTGGAAGAGAAATTTAAAATAGCTAGATTATCAAAATAATTCACCTTTGACATTAACTTCAAGCCCCTTTCGATTCTGGGCGGTGGCTTTTTATCTAAAATCCCTGCTTCATATGGTGAGACAATGGCAGGGTTAATAAATCTGAGGAACATGGCACTTCCTACCGCACCGATGCTGTTCTGCGGGAAGCGCTGGCTAACCACCTAAAAACAAGAAGTGGAGAACTGAGAACACAGTCAGAATCAAAATAACGAAATGGGGACAAAGGGCACAAAGATCAAACTCCAGGCACATACACACCAAAAGAGAACTTGTGAACAATCAATCCTCACATGAATGTTTCTATTTTCTTCCTTCTCCACAAACATCAAAAAATAAAATTAACTCTTAATTCTACTTTTGTATCATTTTAAAGCACAATTAAGGTATCTCAGAGAGAACAAAAACTTCCTTGATGAGTAGTGTAGAAGAGACCTGAAAAAAAGATCTTATCACTGTTTGCAGTGCAAATCTGATGAATAATGAGGGCAGACAATTTCACATAAAGGTTAATATATTTTACAAAGACTAACTAAGATGACAGTATAATCAACTTTTAGAAGGCAAAAGCTGTTTCCAACAGCATAGTTCTGAGACACCCTACGCCTAAAAACGAGTATTCTGCATTTTGCTGTGCACCAGTTATAACTTAATTTTTTGAGAAAAAAAAAGTTTGCCATACACAAAACAAATTTCTTACTTAGTTTTCTACTGGGAGAAAAAAACTTGAATCAATGTTACAGCCAGTTCCTTTTCTTCGCCAGTATGCTTTATAATACAAGGACCTACCTATCATATCTCAACTATGAAGGAATGAGAATTCTGGGTGACCTAAAAGAAAGAAAGAATCCCACTAGGAGAGAAAACCCCAGTGTCTACCTCAATTTATATTTCTACCAAGTAATAAAAACTAAGTAGGAAATGGTTGCCCGTTCTGAAAAGCAACACAAACCCAGTATGTAAAATAGATTTACCTTCTCTTTTTTGTCTTTTAAGACAGGGTTTCATTTACGTAGTTCAGATGAGCATGGAACTCACTCTGTAGCCCAGGCTGGCCTTGAACACTAGCTATCCTCCTGCCTCACCTCCTGGATGCTGGGATTATAGGCATGCACCACCATGCCCATCTACTTTCCCTTGAGACAACATTCTACAATGAAGATAGGGTGGTAGGCATATTAAATTGAGAAATGTAAGACTGGCACAGGTCCTGTCTCTTCCCAGTGGCCCCCCTTTTTAAAACATAAAAACTGCAGTGTTTTAGAGTTTATATTTTTACATGTACTACACACACACTTACTTTTAAAGAACACATAATAGTTTAATCTCTACAACAACTGCTGCTTGACATGACTAGTTGCTGTTAAGAACAGTGGTGACTGGAGCAGTGAAGCTGTCATAGTTCGCTCAGTGCTCTGGTCCTGAGGGACAGACTTATACTTCAAAGTAAACGGGCTGAGGTGAGAAAAATGAGATTTATGAACATAAAATCACCTAGTTCTACTTTTCTTCTTGAGGCCTCAATAAAGTAATACTTCTTGTTATGAATGTACATGGTTCAATGACCCTTAACTCTGGAATAAAGGGTTATTTTATTTTCATATTTCCATCTCATTTAGTGCTTCTTGGAGTCCACATTTTGTATGTGTTCTTATCTAATGCCTATAATCTCAAAATAATTTTTATTATCTCTAATATGAAATTTGTATAAGATTTTTGCAAAATGACTTTAAGCTGAAGAAATCTTTATAAAGGTGTATAAATCTTCACATATCTGAGGTATGTTTCAAGTAATATATTTCTATATTGACTTTCAATGCATAGCTCAGCAAGCTTTCTTTGCGTTAATAGTCCTATGCATGCTTACGGATGCATGAAAAATCACCTTACACGTAAATAAAAGAAAATTTACATCTGTTTTGGCAGAAAGGCTTTACAACTGAAATTTATCTTTAACTGAAATACAATTTCAAATATAGAAGGAAGGAAATGCAAATGTGTTTACTACTCTAGTATAGTATTTAACCTTTTGAGATTACGACTCTCTTTTAAATTTTATAAAAAGTTACAAAAAAGCCAGGCGTGGTGGCTCACGCCTGTAATCCCAGCACTCGGGAGGCTGAGGTGGGAGGATTGCTGCAAGTTCGAGACCAGCCTGGGCTACAAAGTGAGCACAATGCCAACCTGAACCGCATAGCGAGACCTTGTCTCCAAAAAAAAAAAAGTTACAAAAAAGAATGTATGCATTCACACAGACAAAAGTCATCAGGTAATTTTAGCATGTTCCTGGATAACCACTGAGACAGAGAACTTTTTAGAAATCCCACATTATAATCTTAAAATATTGATAAATCTACAAGATATGAAAGTTTCCTAAGAAATGATTTGGCAAGAGGGTTTTTTGGTGTGTGTGTTTTTAATATATTTAAGATCAAACTTTATGTCTTAAACATGTTAAACAAATACTCTACCATGAGCTATACTCCTTGCCGCAAAACTGCTCATATTTAATTTTAAGCATGTTGTTTAAAATTAGCAATCCATTCAATTTAACCTATTAAAGTCATTCATGATTCAAGTTTCTACAAAGCAAAAAGCCATAGCTTCATTTTCAAAGAGCGTCTGATAAAATATTAACTTTCTTTGAAAGAGTCTCATTAAAAATTCAGTAAATGAATGCATAAAAAGAGCTCTTCTGAAATGTAATTTTCTGAAATGTAATGTAATTTTTAAAGCTGGATATGGTAACACATACCTGTAACTCTGGGAAATTGAGGCAGGAGGATTGCAAGTTCAAACCTAGCCTGGGAAATTTGGTAACTTTGTCAAACCCTGTCTCACAACATAAACCAATCAACAATCAAAAAAATATATGGGCTAAGGATGCTGCTCAGTGCAAGCGTCTTAGGTTTAATCCTTAGTATCCTCCTCCCCAATAAATAGTTCACATTTTTTCTTCCATACTAGGGACTGAATTTATGTATGCCAGGCAAGTGCTCTACCACTGAGCTAATCTCCAGCCCCTTATACACACGCAGACATGCAGACATGGGCGCACACACCCACACACACGTAGCTATTTATTGGGTTTCTCTGTGATAAACACCTTTTAAGGTGTATATTATATTGATATTTGATTTACATTTTCTATTTATGTCACTCTCTGCCTCAGAATTTCAGGAAGTCTGAACTCTTTTCCAAATAAGTGGTTTGTAAAAAGTACACATTACCATCTTCCACATCTCCAAAAATAATTCATGTCAATACCTAAAGTATCCTTATCTCAGAAACATATACCTTTTCATATCAATATGTATCTCATTGATGGTATCAATATAGTTTGGAACACCACATAAAACACAGTATTAGTGGGAATGCTGTAAACAGGCTTCATAAATACTTTTGTCTTTTTAAATTTAAAAAAAAAATTTTTTGAGACAGGGTTTCATTACACAGTTCAGGCTGGCCTTGAACTCACTTGGTAGCCCAGGTTGGTCTGGAACTCCTTCCTCAGCCTCTTGAGTACCAGTATTACAGGCAAGTGTCACTATGCCTGGCCAAAGCAGTGTAACTTTCCCTCAGGGTGTTTTGTTTTGTTTGTACTCAAGCTTGAACTCAGCTGTACTCTATCCCTGAGTTCTGTCTGTTTAAAAAAAAAAAAAAAATTTTTTTTTTAATCGGTACGGGGATCGAGCTCATGACTGCCTGCTTGCAAGGCAGGTACTTATGCCGCTGAGCTAAATCCCCAGCCCCCTGTCTGTTTAAAATTTTGAGATAAGAGTCTAAGTTGCTCAGGCTGGGTGTAAACTTGCAATCCTGCCTCAGCTTCTCAAGTAGATGAGATCACAGGTGTACAGTACTGTGCCCAGCTTTGTCACTTCTTTGTTTTTTTAATGCTAAAAATCTAGTTTAGATTCAAATGACTTCTAAGGCCAAAACTGGACTAGTCTATGTGTTAAAACCAATTATCAGCCAATGTCCCTTTTATTTCCTTTGGAAAAAGTAAAACTAGACAATACAAATAAATACAGTCATGAACTGCACATCAGCAAGAGTATCACTACCTATATGGATGATTAATTATGGTAAATTCTCCCTCAGTTAGGCAGGCAGCTTCTAAAATAAATGTAATCGTGCATTATGTTTAAGTGTAATAAACAGAATTATTTATATATGACTGCATAGCTAGACACCAGAAGCCGGAACTTTTTCTCTGTATTTTATACATTCTAGTCCGTGATATATATACACTCCATAAAACAAGATGGTTTACTTTAAAAGAAAAGATTAGATTCTATTAAGCAAATAACTCTTAAAAATGACATTTTAAATTTATAATATAATGACTATACTACCTTATCCTTTGAAATGTTCTCTAAAATCTCAAATTACCAATTAGATTTCCCTTGTGTCCAGAAGGACCTCATATACCTGTGCTAAGCAATACATTCCAAAACTTAGTGTTACCCAGAAACTTTAAAAAAAAAAAAATAACTATCAGGAGAAAAAGAAAAAAAACTCCACACATTTCAGGGAACAATGTTAGACAAAATCTTAGTAAATTAAGCAATGTTAGGAAGGCCAGAAAACATGCTCTAGAGAAACAAAGAAAACCTAATTTTTAATATATGTGATACATTACACCATAGCATTAGTGTAACAGTTAATAAGAATGTTAAAATAATAAATTAATTTTGACAGTAATGGTGTTCATTATGTTAAGCCCATATGAGAATTAGAATGCTGAAGCATTAGAAGGAAATGTTTTTTTCCATCAAGAAGGCCACCTACTTATTTGCATATAGCTGACTGAACTTATTTTACTTAAAAAAAAATCTTGAATGGACACAATAAAAGTACCTCTAAATTTTAATTTAGCCCTGAATTTAAAATAGAAAATTTTATATAAAGCTTCATTTTATGTAAATCTTAAAAGGAAAAATAAAATCAGATGAACACTACATTTCAAATTATTTCTTTTTAAGAAACTGACTTCTAAAAGTTATATCTTTCTCTATAATCATTTGCAGTATATGAAATGATAGGACTCAATATGATAAGAATAACTCACACTAACAGTAATGGCAAATTTAAAATGAATGCAAGCTAATTCCGCTCACTGGAAAAAAATAATTATGAATAGCATAATTTTCTTCCTTTTTCTAAACGAGGGCAAGTTCATAGAAATAGGCAGTATGTTTGTATCATGTTTGCAAAATGAAAAGTTTCTCTAAAATATGGGCTCCACTCAGTTTTCATCTCAATAATTTAATATTAATTTTTACTGAGGTAAAGTTATTCTAATGTTAAGTTTTGCCATGAGAATTTCTATAATCTAAGCACAAACTTCTAAATTCTGGCTGACACTGTCTATACGAAAATTCAAGGAATAAAAAATAAAATTTAGCAGCTTTTAGATTAAATTTAGAAAGTGGTACTTCCCAGTAGAGTGCTTACCAAGCATGCACAAGGGCCTGGGTTCAATTCCTAGCACAGGGAAAAAAAAAAAAAAAAGAACAGAACAGAAAGTGATACTTTCCACCAAATATTTCTAAAGAGTTAAGAAAATCTTTCTATTGGAAAAGAAACAATTCACATGACCTGCAAACAAGAAGCAAGAATGAAGACAGTCAGCCATTTCTTAAGGCCTTGAAATTAAGTTTCTTTTGCATTCATTTATAATTTTTAAAATGACATTAAAATTAGAGCAAGGATATCCAATGTAACAAATGCTCACAATATGCCTTTGGGATAAATCAAACCAAAGGAACACAGAGAATGTTTCAATGTAACTTAATTCCAGGGTTAATTGAAATGAGAGCTATTTTGTGCCAGAATTAGTAGAATGATTTTATAGTGAAGGTCAAATAGACTGAAGTGAAGATGTTTTTAACAAACAGCAAAAGATTTTTTGGTTTGCTTTGAAAGAAACAGCTAATAAAAAGTTCTCCAAACTTACTGATTTTTTGTTTTCCTTTTTTTCTTTTACTGTAGCTTTATTCAGTAGGGAGTGGCAAGTTGCCTACAGAACAGAGATGAGCACAAACAAGTCACAGCACCAACTACATACAGCAACAAAAACAATGTTGGCTTGTACATAAAATTACATGATAAAATGTAACACAAATGGAATCAACAAAAAATTAGGAATAAACTGAATTTCGTGGAATGAATTTCAATTCTGGATTTTAATTTTTATTACATTTTTAAAGCCAAGCACTAAATAAACAGCAAGAAATGTCGAGACCCAATCATGTCTACTATTTCTGGCTATGAATCACAGTAAGGTTTCCCCAAATAAATTTGCAGATATAAAATCTAAATTTTAATTAATTCCTGGCTTCCAATAAATTTTTTTTTTTTTTTTTTTTTTTTTTGGTATGGGGGATCGAGTACAACCTCATGCTTGCCAGGCACTTCTAATAAATTTTATGTAAAATGTCCATTATAAGTAGATCACATACTAAAAAGATGTTTTTGTGGCTGCATCATTTTTTTCTGATATGTAAAATATTTCTCTGTGTATCCTTCAATTGACTTAGTTATTTTTCCAATATCTGGCATTTAATTAAGATCATACTGACTAAACAAAAGTTAAATAGAAAAGTTCACTTTAGAGATTTTTGAATTAGAAGTCACTCTAAAAATGATTACTGTTAAAATTTCACATCTTTTTCAATGTTTGCAGGCTGCTTTCTACAATATTTCTAATCAGAAGATGTTAAAAGCTCTGCAATATTTGGGAGGAAAATGTTATCAGCTCAACTAGAAAACAGCATTAATATTAAAGGTAAGACTCTCAAGAGATAACTGTAGAATGGAACTGTGAGGCTGCGTGAAACTTTTACTTATTATAGCTGAGCATCTGTCAGGCCCCTCAGCCCCAGGCACTCATCAAACCCATAGAGACCTATTGGTTTTCTCTCAGCACTCTTTCTAGGCTATAGCGTTCTTCCAAAATGAAAAGATGTCTGACTAGAATAGACTATAGTAGGAAGAATAATTATTTTAAAAATATTTTTAAACCAACAATTCCTTACTCCACCACACACTGCATCTTATTCTCAGCATGCTAATCATCTACCACCATAACCCTTAACAACTTGGGTTTAAGGTCAGTTTAACAACCATCCATGCATCCATCCATCCACACATACATGCATGCCATATCCTATTCTAAGTGCTAGAAGCAATAGTAAAACAAGAAGAAAGTCTTATTGCCAAGGAACCTGGATTCAAACTTTAGAATCAAAAACGCTATGACAATGTGCAACGTACCATTGCTGCCCCGATTGACATGATCTGAAATTTTGTTATATTTTTTTCTTTTTCTCCTTGAAATAAAATAGATTTGGAAAAAAATAATACTAGTGACTATGTAAAAATTCATTTTCACATATTTTTGATGATATATAGCCATCGTGTTACAGCCTTCAGTAATTTTGTATGAACTACTTAGATTAGAGAAGCAGATTACCTCAAAAAATATCATTTACTTGGAATTATAGTAGCCAGAATCTGCTCACTGTAACACAAAAAGATTATCCACTTTGGAAATTAATTTTTTTTTATTCCAAACTATCAGGAGGGAACGTGAAAACACTTAAGAAAATGACAAGTGTAAGTCAGACACATGTTCACAGATAACTTCCTCTATAACTTTAAACCAGTCCACTAAGTAAAGAGGGCATGTGGAGAACAGAGCTGACCAAACATGACACGTACAAAAAGCTGAAAGCCCAAAATATAAACTCAAGGAAAGAGCGCTAATGCTCAGTTTTTATTAGCTAATAACATGCTTACTTAGCTTTCAAAATTTCCCCAGTAAAGTCCAAAAGCAGAAGCTATGCTTGCTAAAGGAAATTTTTAAAAATCAACTACTATCCTTCCCAGCAGAATACAAAAATATAAAATTACCATTATATTACTGCCAGCATCAGAAAGGCAAGAATAAAGGAAAAAGAAGGAAGATGAATAAAAACAAGAGAGTAAGCCAAAAGAAAAAAACTAGCTTTGGAAGGAGATTCAGTGAAAAAATATATTGAGATCAAAGCTTATTTCTTTTATCTTTATTTTTAATAAGTAAATATAATGTAAAAGTCCCTGTTACCAATCATATACTAAAAAAACCTCTTTATTTATACTTCTGCTACATGACTCTGCTCTCCAACAACATTGAATTTCTCTAATACTTCAAAATAATGCACTGGCACAATTTAAATAATGCTTTAAAGAATAATTTTATGTAAAATTTAATGTAATTCAACTGTATTAAGGTAATACAGGTTAGTTTATTAGAAGTGCTCTAAAAACACAACACAGTCATTGCCCCGCACTATTTTCACTACTGTATTTTTCTCCTTTCCTAACCATGAAAGCTGGCAAGAATCTTGTTCACTTAAGTAGAAGGAACAGGGAAATTCATTCCTTCACTAATTATCTCCTAAGTAGCTAGTATCACAGTACCCTTTCACATCATCAATAACATAGTCTCAAATCAGTGTCCCTGTTTCTGATGATATAAAAAGAATTTTCATCAGGGATGATAATCACACAGAGAATTCCTACTAAAATCTACTAGACCCATGTAATCAGGTCACCAGTCTCCTTTAACTTTTAACAGCTGAAGCAGAGCCACTGTCATTTAGAAACTAATTTGCTCTCTAAAAGCAGTTAATGCAATGTAGGCCAACCAAGAAGCTGACCCAAGCTGTTTTTACTATGTGCTCACTTTTTCTTACCTGCCTGATTTTACAAATAGAAAATCAGTGAATTACATTTAAAAATAAATCAAATAATGTCTAACCTTAAGAGATAATAATCACTATACTATGATTTATTAACACTATCTGCCCTCTAGCTGAATAAATTGTATGGGGTTTACTGATAGGCTTATTTCCAAAAGATGTGAAGTATAAAACAAAAGAGGCCTTTATTCTGAGAACACGGAGAGAGATAACCGACACCCCCCCACCCCACCCCCCACCCCAGTCAACAAGTGGCTTGGGGGGGTATATAAACAGCCTAAGCTTAGGGTAGTGTCCTAGCCTAAGCATTAGAGATGCACAGGTATCTCATTGGCACAGGCTTGGCGCCAGGGCAGATTCCTAAGGGTGGGGGGAGATAGAGTCACAGGTAAATCTCTAGGGGTTGGAGAGGTTCCAGTTGAGGCTTTCCTGGCTACAATGTCCCATCTGGGCCAAAACCCTTTCATTTACCTAAGCTTCCATGAACTTCCTAAAAAGGTAATAAAATCATAATAAAGTAAGATAGACTTTAAAGCTAAATATGCTTTACCATCCATGAAAATTGTAAAAGGTTTTCTTTTTATAGATAATAGCAGATACGTCTTTAAAAATAGCAGTGGGAAAATGTCCTCACAGAGCAGCCTCCAACAGCTTTTTAAAATAGTGATTCTACTGAAGCTGTTAATGTCTCTAAGCAACTGAAGCTGTGTGCTAAAAACAAAATGGCTGGGGATAACTGCAAAGAGGGAGATAAAGGCAGGGATTTGGTTAAATATGTAAGCTTCTTCCCTAGCCCCACCCCCAAATTCCAGTGGCAACAATATATTTTCCTTCTCAGAAGGCTAAAGTGAATTTGCACAACGCCTCCTGCAATAAGTAAATCATTCCTGTTACTGCCAAAACGATTTAAAAACAGGAGAAACCATAAAGACATAAAAACTGAATTCCCTCAACAAGAGAATGAATGACTGGCCCTCTGAACTCAGAAGCTTTAGTTGCAGTGTAAGTGTAAGATGAGAAAGTCTAACAAAGAGTGATAATGTATTAACATCTTCTATGACAAAATAACACACAAACAAAGTAATCAGTTTTCTGGGAGAATATGATACAAGCCAACTGTATCTTAATGAAGAAACCATAATTACAGATCAAATAATTCATGATGCAAAAAGTGAAGGACCTGCCTCTAGTGTGAACAACTAAGTAATTTAGGCAAAAGATAACAACAAAATTCCATAATGTACATGATTTCAGCCATATTCATCATATTCAATAGATTCAGTAAATTTTAAATATGCTTCCAGTGCAAGAAAAATGCAATATTTTAAAGTAGTTTATTTAAAACACTTCAAAAGTGTCCAGAGAAAAAGAAGTTTCTTTCAAAGCCAATTCCAACAACTCACTGCATTATTATTCATCCAGCTGAGTCAGGGAACAGGCAAACCCACAGTCAGCAGCTAACCCTTCAGCCAAGCATTTTTCCAGTTCAGCCTGGATTAATAATGGTGATCTCTGACTTTAAGCATACCTGGTATAAACAGTGGCACACACTTCGAAGCTGAGGAGGAAATTCTAAAGAGGAACTGACGATGGCGTGGAAGAACTTCTCAGTCATCTGAAGGAGGTTCCGCTGATTTTCCTCAAGGCTCTCTGATGGCTCTAACCTACAAAACAGGAAAAGTTTAAAAGAAACAAAATCACTCCTTAAAAGAGACATTTTAAAAGATACTCGGCCAGATGTGATGTGTGGACTTTTGATCCTAATCTGAAAGAACAACAAATTTATAAAAAAGTCAATTTTGAAAAACCAAAAATTTTGACAAAGTATTTTAAAGAATTAAGACGTATCATGTACATGTACCACCTTCCATTGAGGAATACAGTGATTATATACTACCAACATTTACCAACTAAAAAATACACATGCTGCCTCAGTGAAAATGACTCATGAGTCATTCTTGGTATTTAACTTTTCAGAACACAGACACAATTCTCTGTGAAACCTTCTTCATGTCCCAAAAGAGAAAGTGCTGCTACTTATTTTTTGATGTGATAATTCTGTGACATCATTTTTAGAAGCACCAAGAAATCCAAATTTATTTTATTATGGTCTGATAATTTCTATAAACACTGATACCAGGAAGAAAAAATATTAGAAATTATTCTTTATTTTGAGGGGTGTAGAAACAGTGGAGCTGTGTACATGTGTGTTTAAAGTCTATGCCTGTTGGAAACATTATTTCTAGGATTTGCTTTAAAACACCTGAGTAAAAGGGGCATGGGTAGAAGAGAAGGCTAAAAAAAATGGAAGGTATTTCCAGTTCACTCTTCTCTATGTACAAGCCTATGTGAAAAAACCAACACATACATGATACGAGCTTTAAAATTCTCATTAACACAATAAAATACAACATTCATGCCTTCTTATACTTTGTTTCTACTATTTATCCACACACATGAAGATTTTGTGCATTCACTTTACTGCATAATAGTGCACTGTATGCAAAGTTTTGTGGGGGATTTGTTGGTGGTTGTGTGGTACTAGGGATCGAACCTATAGCTTCTCACATAGTAGGCTAGCATTCTGCCACTGAGCTATACCTCTAGCCCTTGCATATTATGACTTCGTATTTTAAAACATTAACATTTTTTCACTTTTACAGATATCACTGCATCCTTGTTATGCAAGCATTTCTCTATGGCAACTAACTAAAAATGAGTAATCGAGCATATGAAAATGTAAATGTATTATGTATTAATAACTCTGTGACCAGCAATATGTAAGAATTTTTATTCTACTTCATACATTTACACAGTGTGCAGGCTAGGTGTCTCTTATCTGAAATGCTTTGGACCAGAAGTGCTTTGGTTTTTTTCTGATTTTTGGACTACTCAAATATACTGTACTAGTTAGGCATTCCTAATTCAAAAATCTGTAATATTCCAAAATCTGAAAATTTTTGAAGACTATGATGATCAAAAAATTTCAGATTCTGAAACATTTCCAATTTCTGGATTAGAGATGCTCAACCTGTGCCATTCTAGTAAGTTGAAAAGGCTGTCACATATTTTTAGCCTTTATGTCTATGAATTCTAGTAAGGTCAGACACACTGTCATATACTTTGTGGTCACTCAAGTTTTCCCTGTTCAGAAATGCCTTTCATATCCATTCTAACTTATTTAAATATTAGCTGTCCCTCCCAGTAAGACCTAAAATTCAGTATGCCTGAAACAAATTGATTTTTCCTCTTATTTATGTCTTACCTTGTGTTCTCCTCTGCCTTAATTATATCACTCAAGCTCTGATGTCACTTTTTCTTGCTTTATTTCATTATCCACAGCCAATCACCATTGCTGATTCTTATTAGCATGACATAAAGATTTGGTGTTGTGATTAAAGCTACAGATTCCAAAGGCAGAATACTCTTCTTTGAATCTCAGTTTTGCTCATCAGTAAAACAAGAATAATAATTTACTTTGTTCTTCCTTTCTTTTTTTTTGTACCAGGAATCAAATTCAGAAACTCACACCTGCCAGCAGGCGTTGTGCCACTGAGCTATATCCCCAGCCCTATGTTATGGTTTTAAATTTTATGCAATGCTACCAAACCTACAAAGCTTTACTTCCTGTCTGGCCCAATCCAAATTCTCAAAACATTTTCCTTATAAAACTCACTACTTAAACATACATCTGTCTCATTGCCAGGCTAAACTAAGTTCCTTGAAAGACGTGTTCATCTTTGTCACCTTGAAGACTGGCACCAGGATGTGGACAAAACAGATTTGTTACAGCTGCTGAGGTCCAGGCTTCAGCAGGTCAGTGGCCTCTCTGGTCATCTACAAGTTGACTTCAGTGCCAAAGATGTGGAGATTAGTGTATTAGTGGGAAAGACAAATATGAAAACAAATACTTGAGGACTATAAGTGGCTTTTTGTCCAAAACCAATGGACTATACACACCACAATAACAACTGGCAAAAATTCATTCTGGGATGTGGCGAGTCCTCGTAGATCTCCATATTTCCTGAGATATAACAATACTGAATCAAGCAAGTTAATAACCCTACAGTGGCCTGTAAGTGTTCAAATGAAAAGTAATGCCACTCATTTTAAATCAAAAGCTCCAAGTGATTAAACTTAGTCAGAAAGACATATCTGGCTGAAATGGGCTAGAAGTTAGGTCTCCTGGGCCATTAGCCAAATTGTGAACACAATGAAAATTAAACATTCTATTCCAGTGAACATATGAAGAGTGAAAAAAATGTGATAGTCTTGATATGGAGAAAATTTGAGTGGTCTAGACAGAAGATAAAATCCACCAGAACATTCTCTTAAGTAAAGCCTAATTCAGGAAAAAACGCTTATTCTCTTTAGTTCTTCAAAGGCTCAGAAAGGCCTGCCCCTGGAGCCTGTTCACACTTGGGCTGCAAGAAAAGAGACTTCCCAGAACTGTTCCAACTACAAAAGCCAACCCTGCCCAGGAGGACACCTTATGACGACCCTGTGTCACACTCTGCTGCTCACACCTGGCTCATCTGCAGAGTCCCCACACACACACACACACACACAACAGCTGTCTTAATCCACAAGGCAGTCCACCTCCCCCTCCCAATAAAGCTGCTTTCTCACAGCAGAATGTCTGCTCTGGCTTTGCATGGGTTCTGGTCCACCATTTGCAGAAACAAAGTCTAAAGTTAGCCAGGTGTAGCTGGGAGGCTGAGGCAGGAGGACTGCTGTGAATTCGAGGCCAGCCTGGGCAACATAGTGAGTTTAAGAGCAGCCTGCACTACACAGTGAGACCCTATTTCAAAAAAGAGAGAGAGAGAGAGAGAGAGAGAGAGAGAGAGAGAGAGAGAGAGAGAGAGAAAGAAAAAAAAAGAAAAGAAAAATTCAAGTCTGAAAGTGCTGGTTCTCGAGGTCTAAGAAAGGAAGCCACGTCCGTAACATAAAAATGCAAGGTGAAGCAGCAAAAGTTAATAGAGAAACTGCAGTAGGTTACCCAGAAGACCTGGCTCAAATAACTGCTGAAAGTGGCTGTATGAAACACTGCACTCTCACACCCCAATCCCACCCCATGCTCATTTACTGTTGCAGGGGACCTCAAGACTTATACTAAATCTACTTTGTGATCTGCCTATACACAGAATAAGAGAGCCTGAGACTATCTCTGTTTACAACATGGTTTAATATTTTAAGCCCACCATTGAGACTCCTGCTACTCAGAAAAAAAGATTCTTTTCAAATTATTATGGCTCACTGATAATATACCTGCTCACCCAAGAGCTCTGATAAAGACGGTCAATAGCAATGTTTTCTTTCATGCCAGCTAACACAATATCCCTTCTTCAGTCCTTGGATCAAGGAATACTTGTGACTTTCAGGGTTTGTCTTGTTTGCCTTTTTGAGCAGGATTTCACTAAGCAATTCAGGCTGGACTTGAATTCACTTTGTAGCCAGGCTGACCTTAAACTCACAGCAATCCTCTTGCCTCAGCTTCCAAGTACTGGGATTACAAGAGTCCACCATGCTTGGCTCAGGTTTTATTATTTAAGAAATATACTATAGTTTGTAAGGCTATAAGCCACCAAAAGGTTGTGATTCCTCTGATAGAGCTAAGTAAACTGAAAACCTTCTAGAAAGAATAAGCAATTAAGAACACTTGTGATTAATGGGAGGAGGTCCAAATATCAACAGCAAGATACTGGGAAGAAGCTGATTCTATTCCTAAGGAATGACTCTGTAGGGTTCCAGACTTTGGTGGAAGAAGTACTGATGGTGTGGTAGAAATAACAACAGAATAAGAATTAGTGCAGGAAGCTAAAAATATGGCTGAATTCCTACGACCTGATGATAAAACTGATTTACTGGTGCGTATTAGTTATACAAAATAGTGGGTTTCATTTTGGCATACTTCCACATGCATATAACATACTTAGATCATCTCCTCTCTTACTCTTCTTTCCTTGTCCTCCCAAACCCTTTCCTCTTTTCTAGTAATTTCCCATCTGTCATGATAAGGAATTTAAAAGCATTCCTTCTGGGGTGAGTTGGGTGCAATGGCACAAGCCTGTAATCACAGCTACTCAGGAGACTGAAGCAGGAAGTCTGTAAGTTTGAGGTCACCCTGGGCAACTTATACAGATCCCAAAGTCGAAAAAACAAAACAACAACAAAAACATTAATGGATGAGGGGTTGTTTCTAATGGATAGGTTGGAATGTACTCCTGGTAAAGATGCTATGAACATGGTTAAAATGTTAACTAGTGAAATTACATCAACTTAATTGTTAAAGCAGTAGAAGCGTTTGAGAGAAATCACTCCAATTTTTTCCCCAAGACAGGATCTCAACTGTGTTGTCCAAGCTGGATCTCATATTTGTATCCTACAGCTTCAACCTCCCAAGCACTGGGATTATAACCCCATTTTTTTTTTACTTTTTTTATGGAAAAAAAGTAAAGCAAAATTTCATAACAAAATAATAGGAGACTAACAATGATTAATAGATTGCATATCTTTAAAGTAATTACTCAAAGTATAAAATGCCTCAAAGTATAAAATGCGGGTATTAAAATTTCTCTAATCGATATTAGCATAGATCTTCCTTTTCAATGAGCTAAGAGACAGTAATAATATCACTGACTTGCATTTTTTCCCTTTCCCCTTC